ATCACACGGCGCCTGGTCGCGCCTGGCTGCGCAGTCCCCGCCGAGGGCCCCTTCGCGGGGGGCCCGCAAAGGCATCGGGGTTGGCGGCGCGGCCCTCGGGAACCCCAGGAATCTAGGCCTCCCAGATGGGGTCCGAGTAGACGGGGTCGGAAGTTCGCGCCGCATCGCCGACGCATCGGCGATGCATGGGCGATGCGGCTTGATGTGGAGCCCGATCATCTCCATGCCGACGGCACCGGTACATCGCCGATGCGTCACAGATGCATGGGCGATGCTTCGGCGATGCGGCGCGAGCCTCCGACCCCATCCACTCCGATCCCATCATGGGCCCCCGGGGTCGCCCCGTGGGAGCTCCAGGAGAACCCAAGGGCGGCGCAGGAGAGGGGAAGCGGTGAGCGGCAGGCCCCGACACGGGCCTCCAGGCAGCCCGCAGGAGGACCCACGACAGCCCCGCGGCGGCCCAAGATGGTCCCAAGACGGCCCAGAGCCTTCGCCTGCAGAGGGCCATCTTCAGATGTGGCCCCGCCGCGGCGCCGCCCCGCGAGGGGGTCCCTGAAGCGTGCCACCCGCCGCAGCTGCCGCCGAGCCCCCGCGAGCCTTGCGCGCTTGCGTCCAAGTGCGCCCTCGCAAGATACAGGCAGATCCTCGATGCGCGCCCCGCCGAATCCCGACAGCAGCTGGGGTCACAGCTCGTCGCGGGGAGGTGCTTCAAAGCGCGCGCGCCCACGGGCGGTGGAGCGTGACTGTGGCTGGGAGGGCGTGGGTTTCCAGAACTTTCTCGAGGACTCGGGACCCGCTTCCCCCGTGGCGACTCGGCCCTGGGAGCGGTCCAGGGGCCGGCTTCGAGACAGGGGGCGCCGGGCCGCGCGCGGCTCGCCGTCCCACCTGAGCATCGAGGGCCGAGGATCGAGGGAGGACTGGTGTCAATTGGCCCAGGGGCACACAAATCAATAGATGCAAGTCCCAGGGGCCCCCATGTGTTTGTACATGTGCTTGACACGTTCCAGTTTTGTGCACATGGACACTTGGCTGTGTCTGTGCTTTTCCCCCCTCTTGGTGATGATCGGGGCCTTGGACGTTTCGTGGCCTGTGGCGGCCCTCCGTGCGGCCGCTGCCCCATCGATGCCTGCAGCCGTCGGCCGCCAAGTCCTTGCGCAGCGCGGGGTCCCTCGGCGTGCCCGCCGCGGCCTGGGGCGAAGAACCGCTCAGGCAAAGTGCTGGTCGAGCCCGCCAGGACCGTTTTCCGCTCCAGGAAGGTTCTCTCGTTCTGTTCGGAGGCCTCACAGGGTACAACAGTCGGCACCTGTTGTCCTTCCTGGTGCTGTGCATGAGGTATGGACACTTGCGAGCATGTGCGCATCTGTGCATCAAAGGAAGGGGGAGGAGGAGAAAAACCATGAGGAGCAGCAACAGCAGCGGCGGCAGACAAGATGGCGGCTGGGGCCGAACATAGACCCTAAGGCAGCAACGCTCCAAGAGCCTACAGTGCGAGGGGCCATCGGCAGAATCAGGATGACAAGGAGGAGAAGCAGCACGATCAGAAAATGGAGGCGTGGGAATGAGAAACAAAAAGGTACGACGGGCGGTCACGATGAGAAGAGACAGCCAATGGAGAAGGGGCACTGACGACGGGGGGCCTCCCTCCTCCACGCCGCCTCCGCACACGACATCCCTGCATGGAGAGCGGGGGGTGGAGGCTGATGCTCCTGAGGTTACTAATCACCATCATCAACAGCATCGCCACCATTATCATCAACAGCATCAGCATCATCATTAACATCAGCATCACTATCAGCATCCCAATCATCATATTCATCCACATCAGTATCATCACCTGCACCAGCACCATCAAACGCATCATCGTGTCCACCCGCATCCTCAAAATAATCAACATAATCCTCATCACCATCAGCAGCACCATCATGCTCATCATCTTCATCACCGTCACCACCATTCAGCATCACCACCAACATCATCACCATCATCAGCATCATCAGTATCATGGTGCACTGTTTCGTTCGGCGGATCACCTAGTTATGGTAGCGATGCCTCGCTGCGATCAGCGAGCTGCTCCTCCAGAGCTCTGGGATGGGGGCGAGCGGCCCCCATCCGACGAGAACCAAAACACTGCCAGTTCAAACAACTGTTTTATCGCGGGGCCATCTGCCCAGGGACGGGAGTGCTGGGCGAACCAGAACGGTTTGCGGTAGTAGATAATGCCTGAACGCACGAAGGACACGACACCCCATTCCCCGCTAACCACGTCCGCGCGCGCACCGCCATGATACGCTGTTTTGCCCAGCGAGACTCAGCTCTGGCAGCGACGCCTTGCTGCGATCATCGCGCCCCCTTTCCGAGGACAACCAAGGCCCTGCCAGTTAAAACCTCTCTTTCATCGCGGGGCCCCCCCGTCCCCTGCACAGGGGGGTTACATTGTAGATGGAGGCTCTTGCGCGAGACAGGAGGGAACGAGCGATTGCAAAGTTCAAAAGGTCGGGTCTTTTTGCAGCGGGCACTGCGCGGCTAATTCCGCAACTGCGTATCCCTCGCACGTGTAGTTGCGGGAGGCCTGTTTTACACCAGATGCCTGTCCGACTGAAGCACGCGCGCACAAGCCCAGCAACATCCTCAGGTTCAAAGCCACATGAACATGGAGATGCATCCGTGCCTCCACAGGCTCCAAACACGCACCTCTCGCTCGCAACAGTTGTCGCAAAATCCACTGGGATCTCATCGAGTTGAAGTGCGAGGAATGATCATAAGCGGCTGCCGTGCGGCATCTCCATGCCTGGCGGCGGAGGCAAGCCTGCCCAATCTCTCAGCAGAGCGACGCAGCCGACGTCGACAGAACAGCTTGCTCGTTGCCTTGCTCGCCCCCGCCGCCGTCGGCGACGCGAACGGCGCGGCCGCCTCTTCGCGCCGAGCGCGCGACAGCAGACGGCGCTCCAGAGGCGTACCCAGCCGCTCATCACTGAGCGCGCCGCCGCGCCACATCCAGGCGGGTGCACCCTGCGCGGCCAAGCACGAGCCGATGGCGTCGAGGCGGTCGCAGATCAAGAGCGCCGTGCTCCGCGCTGCGAGGGCTGGATGCCTCCAGGCAGCGGCACCGCGCGCCCCCGCGCCAAGACGGGCTCCAGCTCGCGCGGGCAGTGGCCCCCGTAGGCAAGCGACCTTGCGCTGCGCGCCTGAGCTCGCTGGCCGAAAAGGGCGCTCTTTTCGTTGCGCGCCGTGTTCTTCAACTGGCGCCAGCCGCCTCTGCGCTGCGATTCTGCCTTGCTGCAATCGCCGCTGGCGCGGTCGACGCCGGCGCCTGAGTGCCGCGCGTGGCACGGCGTGATCCGCCTCAGCTGCAACGAGTCGCAGGTGTCCTCATTTGGCGCAGCAGCGCGGGGTAGTCCAGGGACCGCGCTCGTTTGCGAAGGCCCAGCTTCTGCATCTCGTCCAAGAGAGGGCCCAGCCACCGCAGCCACGACGAGCCCAGCCTCGCGTTCAGATCGAACTCCCGAACCTTGTCGGGAAAGGCCCGCTCTTGAGGGTGCATCAGGAGACCCCAATGTGGACTGCCCGCGCACGGCTTCACGATGCCGGCAGGGCGTAGCCTGAAGAGCGACGACGGCCCAAGTAGGTCGAGACGGCAAGCGCTGGAAACACCGCCATCATGCGCTGACCCCTCAGCAGCAAGGCGAGCATCAGGGGGCGCCATATGGTCAGCGGCTCGGACATCCTTGCTCGCCGAGGTGCGATCCGATTCCAGCCCTTCAGCGCCTTCCACATGCGCGGCAGCGTCTCGGCTCGCAACCGCCCGTGCGTCGGGTGGAAGTGGTTCACCGCGGCGGCCGCGCACATGCCGGCGGAGGCCCGTTCGCCCTGCAGGTGGATGGTGGTGAAGTAATGGACCAGGCAGGCGACCATCGCGTCTGACGGCAGCTCGAAAAAGTCCTGGCGTGCACACCTCACCTTCATCTACTCGAGCACTCGCTGGTACTGAGCCCTCGCTCGCGGCGATACAGCGCTGGCCTCCAGGTAGCGGTCGATCGGCACTGCCCGAGCCACGACCGTGCGTCGCCGCTTTGCTCGCATGAACAGCGTCCGCTGTCGCTTGGCAGCTCATGCGACCTCGGACATCATCATCATCATCATCATCATCATCATCATCATCATCATCATCATCATCATCATCATCATCATCATCATCATCATCATCATCATCATCATCGTCATCGTCATCATCATCATCATCATCGTCGTCATCGTCGTCATCATCATCATCATCATCATCATCATCATCATCGTCATCGTCATCATTATGATCATCATCATCATCATCATCATCATCATCATCATCATCATCATCATCATCATCATCATCATTATCGTCATCGCCATCACCATCATCATTAACCATCATCACTCATCATGGTCATCATGGTCATCAGCATCAGCATCAGCATCAGCATCAGCATCATCATCACATCATCATCATCATCATCATCATCATCATCATCATCATCATCGTCACCATCACCATCACCATCATCGTCATCATCATCATCATCATCATCGTCATCGTCGTCATCGTCATCATCATCATCACCAACTGCATCAGCATCAGCATCAGCATCAGCATCAGCATCACCATCATCATCACCATCATCATCGTCACCATCGTCATCATCATCATCAACCTAATATTCATCATCATCATCATCACCATCACCATCACCATCACCATCACCACCACCACCACCACCATCACCATCACCATCACCATCACCACCACCACCACCACCACCACCATCATCATCATCATCATCGTCATCATCATCATCATCATCATCATCATCATCATCATCATCATCATCATCGATACCATGATCACCACCACCGTCAACACCATCACCATCACCATCCCCATCACCATCCCCATCAACATCCTTCTCCTCCCCCCCTCCTCCCCCCGCTCCTCCTCTTCCTCCTCATCCTCACGGGACCCCGGCGGCTGTCCACGACGCCCATGGCGGGCAGGAGGAAAAGGATGACACTGCCCACGTCCTTCTGTCCACGCGGGGCAGGCTGGGAGGAGGAGGAGGAGGGAGGAGTGGCAACGTTCCAAAACACCCTCGCGGCGTGAACAAAAAAAACACGGCGGACGGGTTGTTGTTACTGTCGGCCTCCGGGGGCCATCGCCCGGCCCCGAGGCCGTCGAAAAACTACTCAGGGGGAAGGGCTTCACAACTCTGGGGATCCACGTTGTCAAATGGGTGAGGGAGTAAAGCAGCTCGGGGGGGGGACATCGAGCTCGGATCGGCGATACAACGCCGAGACGACGGCGATTGGGCGGGGTGGGGCTGTCAGGCCAATGATCAATTGGCGATCGGGGGTCGTCGATGCATCACCTCCTGAGCAAAGCCCCCCTAGGACGGCCCCATTGCTTTCGGGCCATAACACCGCTCTGCGGCGGCCGTTCGGGACGATGCGGGCAACCCTGGAACGCTATATCGGAGAGGCGCCGCTGCTGGAAGGCACCCCGAGGGTGGAACCCGCCGAGAACCGACGCGAAGACACCCGAAAACCTCGAGCCTCGAACCTGGAACGTTGTCCCTGAGAAGAAACCTCTGTGACTATGTCGCAATTCTTCGTCGTCCCGCCGTGTTGTCGTTCCACTGTTCCCTGGGGCCCAGGGGGGCACACAGAAATCGGCACTAATCTTAGGATGTTCTATATTCTGTATTTTTGATGAAGTGTTGTCTTCACCGCCGTGTCCCACAGTTCCCCTTAGAGCGCGTTATTCTATGTTCGGCGATGACGGGCGTCATGGGGGGGGGGAGGGCGGGGGGGGGTATGACGCGACGCCCCCCCCCGCCGTGTGGGTCCGGCACCACAGCGGCGCCCGCGCGCACGACGCGACGACCGACAAGCGACGAGCGACGACGACGACGCGAGCAGCATGTAAGTGGCGATCTGCCCACTGCGCCTGTGTACACCACAACGCTCGCGTGTGCACCACACAGCGCGTGTGCACCACAGCGCCTGCGTACACCGCAACAGCCGTGTGCAACGCACCGCCCGCGTATACCACAATACTTGGGAGCACTACAGCGCTGGCGTACATACGCCGCAGCACCCATGTGCAACACAACGCCTGTGTACACCACTGTGCTTGCGTGCGCCGCAGCGCCTGTGCACGCCACAGCGCCTGTCTACACCACAGTGCCTGCGTGCATAGGACAGGTAGAAAGAGCATGTACGACAGGATCTGCTGCGGACAACTGAACGCCACGCCAGGAAGGTTCTGATAATCGAATGCGACGTTTTTCCTCCCTCCTCCTCCACCTCCACCGCCTCCTCCTCGTCCTCCTCCTCCTCCTCCTCTTCCTCCTCCTCCTCTTCCTCCTCCTCCTTTCCTCCTCCCCCTCCTCCTCCTCCTCCTCCCTCCTCCTCCTCCTCCTCCTCCTCCTCCTTTTCCTCCTTTTCCTCCTTCTTACCCCCTGTCGTGCGGCTTGGCGTTACAACGCACGTGCGCATCTCAGCGAGCATCGCAGAATCGTCGATTGAATCGGTCCACTTGGTTCTCGGACGGCCAGTTTAGCTGGAGCCTCCTGGACGCAAATGGGAGTTAGGGTGATGCGGGCGGACTTGGGGTGACTCGTAGATTCCAGCGGCGCTCCTTCGTCCATGAGGATTTGTTTTCCATTGTTTTCTGTGGAATCCACACGCGCTCCCTTTCGTCACAAAGATTCTTTCTGAACTTCTATACACAACAGTGGTGCTGTGTTGCACACGGCTGATGTGGTGCACGCACGCGCCGTGGCGTACACAGGCACTGCAATGCACGCGTGCATTGTGGTGTACACTGGTGCTGTGTTGCGCACGGCTGATGTGTTGTACGGAGGCGCTGTGGTGTACACAGGAGCTGCTGTGCCCGCGGGCACGATGGCACAAACTGACGCTGTGTTGCACGCGGCTGCTGTGGTGTACATCGGCGGCGTGGTGTACACAGGCGCTGTGGTGCACGCGGGCACTGTGATGTACACAGGCGTTGTGGTGCATGTTCGTGCTACCCGTCCTCCGTCATTCCTAAGCATTCCCAAACGCCGCCGGCGCGAAACGTGACGTCATCGACCCCGTCCCCCCCAGATGATTGCCGTCATCGGCCCGGACTTAAAAACAGGCTCCAGCCGCGTCCGCGCGCACGACGACGATGAGCGACGAGCGACGAACCACGAGCGACGACGACGACGGACGACGACGACGACGACGACGACGACGACGACGACGACGACGACGACGCCTGCGGAGCAGACACCTATGCGGATTCCGACGCGGACACCTACGCGAATCCCAATGCGCACGGCGGCAGTGCCTGGAGCGCACTGGGGGGGAGCGTTACGTCATAGGGGGGGGAGGGGGGAGCGGGGGCCATGACGCCCGTCATGCCCCAAGCAATAAAGAAACAGGCTTTTATGTTCATCAAAAACAGCGATGACTTTTGCTTCTGAATACTTTCACCTCATGATCTTTTTGGGGGCGTAACAAATGCGAGGAAGTTCCCACTCTCCCTCCCTCAGCTAACAGCAGGAAGGGAGCTGAACTGGCGTCAATCCTCACCGACAAGGCCGCAACAAGCACAAGCTCGAAGGAAGAGGAGAGAGTGGAGGCCTCTGGGGACCTCACCCTGGGGACCATCCGCGCAGGCACAAACCACCTCATGACCAGATCCGGCAACGAGGATCACGAATAACCGCAAAATCTCGAACCTCGTGGCTTTGAAATCCTGAGACTGGTGTCCTTCAATAATTCTATACGGTTGTCCCCCAACGGCGCAGATCCTTCAGTGGAAATGAACACTTATATAGGGACCTACGAAGAGGGAGCTTGAGGGGAGGGTGGATTCAATCATCGTTGATGACTCTTGGGTTTGAACTGGTCCTCCTCCTCCTAGACGCTGGACGCTGGCGACCTCTGTCCTCAGGGAGGTGCAATGGTCGCCCCGCCCCCCTGCGCACATCGGTATGTTGGGCAGGGAGGGGCCGTGGGGAAAGAGGCTCGGTCTGGCCGTTGGTTGAGCCGACGGCCAAGCCACGTTTTGTTGCGCACTCGATGACCGAGAAATGAACTGACAATTATTGGTTTCGGTGCTTGTGTGGTCGGCACTACTTCAACGCTGGAAAGAAATAACTGGACCAGACGCAATGTCCCAAATCCGGCAATGCCCTCACAGCATTAAAGAGCAGGTTTTCTGGCAAGCGTCAAAACAATCGAGCGCTTCGATTCTGAAAAGCATGCCAATATATGTTTGACGAGACTTGTAGTTCCAAGGCCGCGCTAATGGCGATATTGATTAACGGCGATGATTGGAACCTGGCATTGGAACGCCGAGCTCGCGTAGAACCAATGATATGAAAACGCGACTAAGCATTCCCTAAAAGTGGGTTGGCCACGGACCACCCCCACCTACAATATCGAAACATGCATTGCCATTACCTACATCGCCGTTAGCGTATCTACGATAGTTAGCAGCATGTGCTTAAGTTGGGCCCCGCTCGGGCAGGCGTAGCCATCAAACTGCAGACAACCATTGTATCGTGACCCTTTTTAGCCATACCTCCTTCGTGCTGACGGGCACGCGTGGGCATCGAAGACAGGCGCATCTTCATTGTTTCGTGGAGTCTCGGTTGTGCACTCTCTCAGGAGGGAAGGGTCCAAAGAGACTGCGACCGAGGGACCGAGCGAGCGCAGGAGGAAACGAGAAGGGAGGCGTCACGGTTGGCGGCGCGCACGGGGGGGGGGGTAGGGGGAGCGGGGAAGGCTTCTTGGAAGGAGGCTGCTCTTGGAAGGCGCGGACCTTGTCTACAGATGTGGGGACGGCGCCTTCTAAGAACCAACCTCCGTCTAAGAAGCATCGCCCCTCCCCCTTGCCCCCCTTCTGCGCGCCGCCAACACGGTGCGGCGGGGCCTCCTCTTCTTCGCCCTCCTCGACTGCCGTCCTGTATGCCCTTGCTGAGCTCCTCGTGCAGCTGCAGGTAGCCAGCCTGCGGCCCCGCGTAGGCGCTGGGCGGCGGCGAGAGGGGGGGGGGGGGCACGCCCCTTGCGCCTGGGGGGCTTCGCCGAGGAGGAAGGGGAGGATCGGCGGCGAGGACGTCCACAAGATATCGCCCAGACGGCCAAGAGGGCGCCAAGACGCCTCAAGAGAGCCCCAAGATGGCCCAAGACGTCCCCAGAGCCCCCCAAAATGGGCCACAAGACGGCCGAATAGAGCGTCAAGATAACCCAAGAGGTTTCGAAGACGGTCTCAAGACGGCTCCAAAAGGGCGCCAAACTAGCCCCAGGGCCTCCACCGTTGCTCCCCTCGCGCGTCTCCGCCTACCTCCTCTGTGGCCGCAAGGCCTTCGATCTTTCAAACCATCGGACCAACACGTCGTCGGGTGGCCTGGGCGTCTACGAGCGCCTGAATCAAGGTCCGCTCCTGGAGAATTGGTGCTGGGTGTATGCAATCACTCACACAACGTACGGGAGCCAACCACACGCGGGTAAGGCCAGCTCCGCTACCAAGTCGAGAGTACAATATATGGTACATTTAATTGGCATTACTATGCTGGAGATGGAAAAGAATGAGGATGGTTCACCTTCGCCCAGAAAGCAACACGCGTTCTGACTGGCAGGTTGGCCGCGCGCGACTTGGGCCCGCGCGGTGACAGCAACTGCTATACATAATGCTAACCCACGGAAGTGTTCCCTAAAAGTCCCCCTCCTCGTCCTACTGATCCTCCCCGTCCTCGACGTCGTTCTCCTTGTCGTCATGCTCTTCCCCCCCTGCCCCCCGCCTCCTTCCCGTCCTCGTCCTCCTCCTCCTCGCCCTTCTATGGCTAGAGCTGGTTGCACTTGGAGTCCATCCACGGGACGCATCACTCTCCCCAACACGTACTCACTCGCCTCAGAGAAGACAGCACATGCCCACCATAACTTCGCGCGCACTGTTGTGCTTGTGTCATGGCTTGTCAATCCTCCTCCTCCTCCTCCCCCTCCTCCTCCACCTACTCTTCCTCCTCCTTTTCTCACTTCTCAATCCTCACTCCTCACTCCTCTCTCCTCCTCCACCTGCTCCTTCCCCCTCCTCCTCCTCATCCTACAGCTCCTCCTCCTCCTCCTCCTTAGCTACGCGCACATTCGTCCTTACATTCGGAAGCAGTCACAAGAGTGAAAGGCGAATACATTTCAAAATTTATGGTCGCCTCAGCTCCGCGCACACTCGCCCCAAGTTTGCGCCACACTTACAAGCGTAGGTGGATGCTACGATTAAATATTGGCCTCACTTGCGACCCCCTCAGAAGATGCCATTTCGTTGGAACGTTCCTTCGATTCGAGAATGGACAAGGTGGTTTTCAAAATGGGTTTATCGCCTTAGCGCCACGCACCTTCGTCCTGACTTCTGTAACAGCTTCAATGATGCAACACAAGTCAGTGTCAAAATGAAGTGATCCTCAAAGCGCCGCGCAGACTCTTCTGAAAAGTATGCGACAGCTTCAACGATAGAGGGAAGATCTGTTTCGAATTTGAGCTGTCGCCCAAGCTCCGCGCTCATGCTTGCTACAGGTACAGGTGTGCCGGGCAGTTGCTGTTCAACATAGGTCTATCGCTTGAGACCCTAAGGTTCAGTGGCCAGACGCTTTAACATACGTAACCGCTGCACAGATGGAGAGCGGCTCGTTTTTAACGTTGGGCTTCCACATACAACTTAAAAAGATTTGACATATGTCACAACTGCACGGATGGAGGGAGGTTTATTTTCCAAAATGTGAACTTGATGGCCGGAACTGCAAACTTGAGCGAAACCGATGTAGGAGTGATCCCTATGTCAAAACGGGGATCTCATTGAATACATCGCTGAACTATATGAATGCGGTTTCCTGATCGCTAGAACGATACAATGCAATTCCGTTTCTAAACGTGAATGGCAGACCCATCGGGCGCTCACCTTTCAAGAGGGCGGTTTTGGTAGTGGAGAAAAGGTTTGCGGGGACTTGTGAAGACCGGGCTGTGGTTGCAGCATCGTTGAAGCATCTTGGATTTACTCTGGCCCTCCTCACCCTCCTCATCCCCCTCTCCCTCTCCCTCCACCTATCCCTCCACACCCGTGGCCCAGAGCCATCACCTACAAAAGGCCAGGCAACTCCGACCTGAGGCAGGTCCTGCTTCCACTTGCTCGCGCTACCTCGCTCGTCTCGAGCTTCGATATCGTGGAAAATGTTGCTTTGGAGCTCTATACTCATGCTCTTCCTCCTCCTTCAACTTCTCGTCCACATCCCCCACCCCGTCATACTCATCTTTGCACACCTTACCCACCCACGGCACACACACACACTTACACATACGTACACACACGCACACGCACACGCACACACACACACACACACACACACACACACACACACGCACGCACGCACGCACGCACGCACGCACCCCCACACACACACACACAGACCCCCCACACACACACACACATAAACACAAACTCACACACTTTGTTGCGTCGCGGCCAGGCGCTCGGCGGATTGGCGTAGAAAGGCACACTCCCTCACACACAGACACGTAAACGAAGAGAGAGAGAGTGAGAGAGAGTGAGAGAGGGAGATAGGAAGCAAGAGTAAGAGCAATAGCGAAATAATGAGGAGTAAACGAATGCCCGTGGCTCGGGCAGGCAGAGCCGCCTCCGACCTGGTCGGGTGGTACCCAACTGCCAGGAACGCCCACATGGTCGCCGACATGATGAGCATGACGGAGGACTTGTTGACGTCCAAGAAATCCTGACACTACGCCAAGACAGGCAAGCCATGGGATCTAGATAAACCGGGGATCACTGGGATCCCGAACGCACTCCCGAACGCTCTCGAGCGCGTCCGTTCCAGAGCGCTCCCGAACGCTCTGAGAGCGTTCTCGAACACTCTAGAACGACTCATCCCAGTCCCAGCCCCGCCCGAAGTCCTCCAGGGCCACGACGAAGAGCCCGACCACGAAGAGGGCTGTGAGGACCTGGGCTCTCGCGTCGTCGTCCTCTATGGGGGCAGACAGCGCCAACCACGCACCTCCACCAGCCATGTCAGGGCCCAGCCTGGCAACTTTGTAGGGTAGTCGCTGGGCCAAGAAAAGAAGAAGGATGCACGACGGGAGTGCAAGCCGGGGGCGCACGACGGGGCACCCCCACTCTCGATAGAAAGGTGCGTCCTAATAAGCCCCCACGGGTATGTTCCGTCTTCGTGCTGTGTCCGTGTTCCCTCGTTTTGCGTGTGTTCCGCCTTTGATGCAAAACGAGATGAAAGCGACAAACTGTCCACGAAATCGCCACGAGGTCGCACCCCCACCCCCACGAGGGTTTCTCGGTCGCGGGGCCACCCCGGTCGAGGGTCAACGTTGGCGGGGAACCAGCTCAGGGTGAGAGGCATCGAACTTGAATCGGCGTTGCATCGCCGATAAAATGGCGGTTAGGCCCCCGGTGGCAAATGCGCACGATCCTGGGCGGGGCTGGCTATCAATTCTACCATCGGCGATCAGCAAGGGGTCGGGCCTTCCTCCCCTGAGCCAGTCCCCGGCCCCCCCTGGCGCTGCCGCTGAGGTGGTCCCTGTCTTCTCCCGTCGAGGGACGGGTCTCCAGCGCTGGCGGGAAAGCCGTCCGCGGACCCCCAAGAGGGTGGGCTGGCGGGGCCTAGGTGGGGATGGGGATAGGATAGGCGATGCTGAGCTTCTGCCCGGGCCCCAGTCCTCGATCATCCAGGGAGGCCAGTTGGCCACGGCCACCACCAGGACGATCACCACCTGAGGGGGAAAGGTAAACGGAGAACACTAACAATACCGATTGGACCAACCTTCGGTCGATAAGGAAGTCGGGCGGGGGTAGGGGGGCGGTAGATTTGCGATGGGCCCCGCCTACCGCCAACAAAGAGTGCGCAGGTAAATACATACCACCTACTCCAGCTTGCAGCTGTCAATATATATATATATATATATATAGATACAAATGTATATATGGATCGACCAGTCTATCGATCTACCAATTCGATCAGTCAATCAATCAATCCATCGATCAACCGATCGATCCGTATATATATATATATATATGCATATCCATATATACCTACCTATATATCGTTCCATGGTGGTGAGTGGTCGTGGTGGCCATGGCGGTAATTGCGGTGATGGCGGTGACGGTGATGATGGTGACACCGCGCCGATCCCCCAGTGCTACCGCTGCGCCGAATCGAATCGACTCAGAGCTGGCACTTCGCGAAGCATCGGCCCACCTAGGCCTGGCAGAGCCTGGGCCTATGCCTCCGACTTTGTCTGCGAGGTCGAGCGCGCAGAAGCACGCGCCTGCCCGTGCCTGTACCCATCTATCGATGTACCTCTCTATGCATATTTGTATCTGTCTACATCTCAGCCAACCAAGATTCTATATTTGAAGTTGTTCCCCAAACAGCTTGCTGAACGGGGTGCTGTTGTGATAGACGCTGATTCCGGCCGAGGGAAAGCTAAGCAGAGACATCCTCAAACAAATGTGGTGGTCCGGCCAGTTTCGCCTGAGACATCCTCACAACTCTCGTTTCTGAGTTGTCCGGGATTGAGCGTTTCGCCTGAGACATCCTCCTAAATCTGAGCTCTGAGAGGCCGCGCGAGAGGTGGTCCGGGCCGTTTCGCTTGAGACATCCTCGAAACTCTGAGCTCCCAGATGCCGCGCGAGAGGTGGTCCGGGCCGTTTCGCCTGAGACATCCTCGCAACTCTGAGCTCCAAGATGCCGCGCGCGAGGTGGTCCGGCCGTTTCGCCTGAGACATCCTCGAAACTCTGATCTCCCCGATGCCGCGCGCGAGGTGGTCCGGCCCGTTTCGCCTGAGACATCCTCGAACTTCTGAGCTCTGAGATGCCCTGCGCGAGGTGGTCCGGCCCGTCTCGCCTGAGAAATCCTTGCAACTCTGAGATCTGAGATGCCGTGCGCAAGGTGGTCCGGCCTGTTTCGCACAAGATATTCTCGCAACTCTGAGCTCTCAGATGCTGCGCAAGAGGTGGTCCAGCCTGGGGGCCCAGAAGGCCACATGTTACATATCCTCCATGGGACCCTGCGAGCCTCAGGAGGCCCCAGAGAGGTCCAGGAGGCCGCAGGACGCCCAGGACAGGCCCCAGGGGCCCCCAGGAGATTCCCAGGAGGCCCCAGGAGGCCCTCTATCAGAACGTGTCAAGTTAATACACATCCGGTGTCGATTCGTTGATTTTTCCTGCTCTTGTGCCCCCCCCTCCATTTGGAGAGGCCCAAGCGGCCACAGGTTAGATATCCCCCCTGGGAGCCCCAAGATGCTTCAGGAAACCTCAGGTGGAGTTCAGGAGGCCACAGGAGGCCCAGGAGGAAGCTCCAGGAGGTCCCCAGGAGGCCCAGGAGGCACCAGGAGGCCGCAGGACGCCCAGGACAGGCCCCAGGGGTCTCCAGGAGATTCCCAGGAGGCTCCCAGGAGGCCCCAGGAGGCCGCTTATCAGAACGTGTCAAGTTAATACACATCCGGTGTCGATTCGTTGATTTTTCCTGCTCTTGTGCCCCCCCCCCCTCCATTTGGAGAGGCCCAAACGGCCACAGGTTAGATATCCCCCCTGGGAGCCCCAAGAGGCTTCAGGAAACCCCAGGTGGAGTTCACGAGGCCACAGGAGGCCCAGGAGGAAGCTCCAGGAGGTCCCCAGGAGGCACCAGGAGGCCCCCGCAACTCGGAGCTCTGAGACGCCGCGCTCGAGGTGGTCCAGCCCGTTTCGCCTGAGACTTCCTCGCAGCACGTTTCGCCCGAGACATCGTCGCAACTCTGGGGTCCGAGATGCCGCGCGCGAGGTGGTCCAGCCCGTTACGCTGGAGACATCCTCGCAACTCTAGGCTCCGAAATGCCGTTCGCGATGAAGAGGAGGTGGAGGAGGAGGAGGAGGAGGAGGAGGAGGAGGAGGAGATGGAAGGGAGAAGGAGGAGGCGGATGATGTGCATGAGGGAGCAGGCAGGAGGAGGGGGAGGTCCCAGAGAGCTTCAGGAGGCCGCAGGACGCCCAGGACAGGCCCCAGGGGTCCGCAGGAGATTCCCAGGAGGCTCCCAGGAGGCCCCAGGAGGCCCTCTATCAGAACGTGTCAAGTTAATACACATCCGGTGTCGATTCGTTGATTTTTCCTGCTCCTGTGGCCCCCCCCTGTATTTGGAGAGGCCCAAACGGCCACAGGTTAGATATCCCCCCTGGGAGCCCCAAGATGCTTCAGGAAACCTCAGGTGGAGTTCAGGAGGCCACAGGAGGCCCGGGAGGAAGCCCCAGGAGGTCCCCAGGAGGCCCCAGGAGGCACAGGAGGCCCCCGCAACTCGGAGCTCTGAGACGCCGCGCTCGAGGTGGTCCGGCCCGTTTCGCCTGAGACTTCCTCGCAGCACGTTTCGCCCGAGACATCGTCGCAACTCTGGGGTCCGAAATGCCGCGCGCGAGGTGGTCCAGCCCGTTACGCTGGAGACATCCTCGCAACTCTGGGTTCCGAGATGCCTTTCGGGATGAAGAGGAGGTGGACGAGGAGGAGGAGGAGGAGGAGGAGGCATGTTTTAACATGCCATGCCAGCCCGCACTAGGCGGGCACGCAATCGACCTTGGAAACCACAATGGGTCTAAAAACCCTGTTTGGGGATACTGCACTCCGGCTATAATCTATCTATCTATGTTGACGCGAGCAGCACGGTGGAAGCGCGCTCGCTGTTTTCCCAACAGTGCGATCGAAGCTGCACGCGCAGCACGGCGGAGCCGGGACCTGCGCCCCCGCGTTCGGCTCTCGCATCATCTCTGTCCCGCATTCGGGAGATGCGCTGGCAGAGCAGGCAACGCCGCGCTGGAAATGCCTGGCGACGCCGCGCTGGCTAATCACCAACGCCGAAAGTTCCACCATGGTTGGTGTAGCAATAGTTGGAAGTGCAGGGCAGTCCCCGACAGCAGCGTCTCCTGCACGCTGTCAGTCAACATGAACTCGAGCCGCGCGTATTTCAGCCCCCACGATTGCGGATATTCCCCGAGCAGCGCGACGGACCCTCGCCGGACACACTCGTCGAATTCTTGCTCTGGCACCGCCCGCTGCAACTCCACGCGGAGATGCCCCATGCTCGCACCAGGATCGAGGATCGCGCGGATCGGCTCGGGCCCGCCCACCTTGCACAGTGTCGCGGCCACGCGGCCAGATGCGCCAGATCCGTCTTCGGAGTCGCCCCGCGGGGTTCCAGGCTTCGCCAGCGCGCCGCTCACTGGCGCCGCGCCTGCGGCAGAGCCTGGCGCCGCGCCTCCACTTTCCCTTCCTCCACCTTCTGGCCACGTGCCCGGCGTCGGCACGGCAGAGGGCGCATATTCATCCGTCGCGACACCTGTCAGAAAAAAAAACCTCGAAACCTTGCCCATCCGCTACGCTGGGGAGGCGCCGGAAGAGAAGGCCGCGGCGGCCCTGGGCCGCAGCGGCTATGGCTGCGGCGCAACTGCGGGGGGTTGCGCTGCACGTGGTGGCGGGGGATTGCGGCGCACATCTGTCCATTTATCTACGGGGCTATCTGCCAAAACATCGACCTATCCAACAGATTAGCAAACTATCGATACACCTATCTATCCGTCTACTTATATTTGCATATACCCGTCGATAAACCTGTCTGTATGGCTATCTAACCATATGTCTATCTACATACCTATCCATCGGGGCAACCAGAAGGGCAACTATCGGGGCAACCATCTACGGATCTAAATGTATGTATATTTCTACATATAAGCCTGTCTATATATCCATCGACCCATCGATCCACCTATCTATCTCTGTATCAAAATATCACACTATCGATCGACCTCTCCATCTATCCGGTGGTGTTGGTGATGACGGTGAGTGGTGGTGGCGGTGGTGGCGGCGATGATGGGGGTGATGGCGGGATGGTGCGATGGCGGTTGCCATGTGGCATGATAGCGTTTGGTCCATGCTGCTGGCGCACCACAGCGCGAAGCCAGCGCCAGTCGGTGGCGCGCGCTCCAGAGGCTGCGCGCTTGAGAAAGAACGCTGTGATCGGAGTGCCAGCAGAGCTTGGCGCCCCTCGGCCGCGCGGCCCCTCGCCGCCGCTGCGCCTCGTCGACTCAGAGCTTGCGCTTCGCGAAGCATCGGCCCGCGCAGGCCTGGCAAAGCCTGGCCTGCGCCTATGTCCTTGTTCTTCGCGCCTTCCGCTGTGCCCTCTGGTGTCGAAGTGCGCATTTTTTGCGGGGGCACATGGCGCGCGGCCTGCTTGCGCGCTGGGCGCCGAGCGCACGGCGCCAGCGGCACTTCCAAACGCTAGCTCGCCGCCCCCCTCGGCGACGGCCAGGCTGCGTCGCGCATTCCTGGCCGCATTGGCTCTTTCGGCCGCAACGCTGCCGCCGGGCTGCGCGCGCCACATGGAACCGCCGGGCCTCCGCGCCCAGCGGCTAGCCTGGCAAAGCCAGGGCTGCCTCGCCGGCGGGTGCCAGGCGCCCAAATTTGCGCAAATGCTCAGCTACTTGCGCGCCGCAATTGCGCGCGCACCGCGTCGTCGCCGCGAAGCGCGGGGCCCGCCAAAGGCGCGCGTGCCGCGCGGCTCCCGGGCATTGAACGAGACAGATTTGTTTTCCGCAGCGCGGTTGGAAACGCCGCGCCGCCGCAGACGACCACCCGCGAAGCGCGCGATTGCGATCTGCGCCGTCTGGCCCGCGCTCGGGTCTTCATGCGCGACCGCATCAGAGGGCCGCGCAACTGCCATGCTGCAGAACGGCGACGTCGGTCAGCGGTGCC